TTTTGATATTTCAAGATAAGTTGATCTCTGAGATGAGTTGCATGATTTGGTCAAAGTAATAAAAGGAAAATCTATCTGAGGTTCATTATCTGGACAGTATCTGGATATACTGTATATTTTTATCAATCTCAAGAGGTAAACTGAGGTTTCAACAGAAGCAGAATGAAATGTTAGAAGATGTGAATTGCTAAGGTAAATGTGATTTGTGAAATCAGTAGAAAAGCTATAAGGAGTCACTGAGCTCTACGTGTTTCTGGTCTTCCCTTGTCAGAAATATGATTACGACAGCAGCTCAGTGCGCAAGAAGTTCTTCAGAGAGGCTCTGCTGCAGATCATCATCCCATACATGCTGAAGCAGCTCTCGCCATCCTGCTCACCTGTGAGTAGCACCCAGCACAGCCTCACGTCACCTTTCTTACCGCTTTTTCATTTTTCACTCATTCCCATTACTGTGGAAAGAAAATCACAAATGATATACTGTACAATAATCAGCCATAACATTATGACCACAAAAACACTGAATATCTCATTATCATGGTACCTATCATTGGGTGGGATATATTAGTATATTAGTCAAAGTTCATGTTAGAAGCAGGATAAATGGACAAGCGTAAAGATTTGAGGGCAAAATTGTGATGGCTAAACGACTGGGTCAGAGCATCTCCAAAACTGCAGCTCCTGTGAGGTGTTCCCGGAAAAACGGTGAACCGGCGACGGGGTCAGGGGCAGCCAAGGCTCACTGATGCACGTGGGGAGCAAAGGCTGGTCCATGTGGTCCGATCCAACAGACGAGCTACTGTAGGTTATATTTTTGAAAAAGTTGTTGATGCTTCTGATTGAAAGGTGTCAGAACACACAGCCACGGAGCAATGGAAGAATGCGGCCTGGTCTGATGAACCATGTTTTCTTTTACGTTATGGTGACGGCCAGGTGTGTGTGCTCATCACCTGCCTGGAGAACACATGGCACCAGGATGCACTATGGGAAGAAGGCAAGCCGGCTGAGCCAGCGTGATGCTTTGGGAAATGTTCTGCTGGGAAACCTTGGGTCCTGCCGTTCATGTGGAGGTTACTTTGACATGTAGCCCTTCCAGCTAAGCATTGTTGCAGACCATGTAGGCCTACACCACTAATGAAAACGGTGTTCCCTGATGGCAGTGGCCTCTTTCAGCAGGATAATGGGGCCTGCCACAAAGCAAAAATGGTCCAGGAAGGGTTTGGGGAACACAATAACAAGTTCAAGGTGTTGACTTGGCCTCCGAACTCCCCAGATCTCAATCCAGTTGAGCATCTGTGGAATGTGCTGGACAAACAAGTCCGATCCATGGAGGCCCTTCCTCACAACTTATAGGACTTTAAGGATCTGTTGCTAACGTGTTAGTGGCAGATATCACTGCACACCTTCAGAGTTCTAATGGAGTCCATGCCTCAACGTGTCAGGGCTGTTTTGGCAATATGGGGCAGGTGGTCATAATGTTAGGGCTGGTCGTTGTATGTCAGTGGCTTACTATATAGCTTACAGGACACTCATTGAGCTCATCCCACACCAAACCTGTGCCTGAATTCACAAGAAAAAGTATAGACACTAACAAAAGCAGTACATAATGCAAATTAGTCTGAGCAGAAAGAACAATAAAATGTGAACAGCTGATTTCAAGACACCGTCTTCATTTGCACCAACCTTGTTTCTAGTTTACAGTCCTTGTTTGAAGAACTACAAGTTTTGAGCCCTAAAATGACAAAGCTCTGATTGCCTCAGTAAGCTTAAAAAAATAAATCAGTCCAATTGCATATTAAAACAAAAATTAGCTTTCACCTTCTTTGAATTTTTAACCCACAAAAAAAGTGTTTTTATTGTAACAAAACCAATGACAGAAACATTAAATGTAATCAATGTTAACTGATATGTAGGCAATGCATTGACTGTTTTATGGAGCTCATCTCTGCCCACTCCTCCCCAGGAGCTGCCTCGCTTTAAAGAGCTAATCTTTGAGGACTTCTCCCGTTTCCTGCTGGTGGAAAATATGTTTGAGGAGGTGGTGCTGCAGTCTGTCTCCAAGGACATAATAATGGGTGAGGACCAGTAAACACAAGATTTAGAAATGGTTGCTGACATGGCAATAGTTGTGGTAGTTTGCAATTATATTTCATCAAAGTGTTTTGTTCAACTTCTTTGTTGAAAGAATGACTGATTTTGTTTTCTTTCTTTGTCCAGCTGTGAAGGAGGCAGCTGTCCAGAGGAAACACAATCTGTACAGGGACAGCATGGTTCTGAACAACAGCGACCCCAACCTGCTCCTGCTCGGAGAATCCCCTCAGGTGGATTGGGCTAGTAAATTTGGGGCTGATGAATCGGAGGGCTCTGTCGATGGTGTTAAAGGAGGGAGTTCTGGGAGAAGACGCAGGCAGGTGGTGTCCATGATCCAGCTGGACGGGTTGCCTCTGCCCTACGAGTCCTGCCTTGAGGTCCCAGGTGTGGAACTTATTCCCGAGGAGGATGGCGAGATCTCTGAGGGCAAAGAAGAGAACAGAGGGGCGGATAAGAAGGGCCAAGTGAAGAAGGAGGAAGAGAAGGACCTAGGCCCCTCTGAGGATCCCAAGTCTCCTGACAGCGTGGATGAAATCAGATACCTGATCCATCCAGTAGTGGAGGTGGGGCTGCCTGTATCAACGCAGAGCCAGAGCGACATGACCAACAAGACGGAGCCGATCACAGGCACCATCACCACGAAGGATGGGGTGCAGGAGGATGTCACACATGTCATCACCTTGGTGGAGGACGTCCCCAGGAAATCTCCGTGCGACAAGTTATCCCCACAGACAATTCTCCAGCAGCTGGTAGGAAGCAAGAAGCAGGAAGCTGAGGAGGGGCATCAGGAGGAAGCAGCCATCAAGAACGCCATCGAGGAAATAGAGATAGCAGTACAGGGAGATGACAGTGAACAGGTCGCTGCGGTGCCTGCAGCACAGTCAGATTACGAGTCGTCACCAACGCCAGCGACGGCTACGGACTCAGGCTCGCATGGCGACAGTTGCCTCCATTCACCAACCAATGAGGGGCTGGATGTCACAAACAGTCTGAACGGAGAGGACAAAATTATCGACCCAGTAGAAGTGGAAGTGTTTTTAGCGTAGGAAGAGAAGTGGATTGAATAAGGATTGTATTTAAAAGGTTTCATTTAAAGCATTGGCTTTTTTTTGTTACTGATATTGCACACTCCCCCGCCTTACATTTCTTTGGTGATCGGTTCCTCTACGCAGCTTAGTGAATTTCAGTGCAAGTTTTCTTCTAGTGTTGTGTGGGACGCTGAATTCAACATATCTGATTTATATAAGTTAGGCTCCTTTATGATGCCAACAGGCTGAGGGGGCTTTTAAAGTGATAATCAACTTTTAAACTTACAAATAAGGGAGTTTGTTTTCAAATGATTGTTAAACACAGCAGGAAATAAGGCCTATATTTTCTCAACATCTCTCACATTTATACTGTCAAATAAATGACAAATTGTGCTTTTAACTGTACTGCAGGTGAATGGATCGCTCTTTTCACAGCCTCTACCTGGGCAGCAGGGGGAGCTACAATCAACCCTTTAGATGTTATCTGGGGATTTTTTTCTGTGTATTTGAAATATTCTTTGAAATACCGGTATCTATTTTTGTAAAATGTAATTTTATTCAAAATATGTAGTTTGTTTACTTTGAAGAGCTGTTCCTGTATTCACAAATGGCCTTTGTGTTTCAACACTAGATATTTTAGTACAAGCTGTCAGGAATGATTTACTTCTCTGCTTTACTTTTTGACAACTGTACAACAAAAGTCTTTGCCCGTGGATGTAGATGACCGAGATATAGTAATAACGGCTCCTTAACTTGTAGGATTTTGATGAGCTTGTAATCAGAGGCAGCTCTGCGAGTATAAGGGGGAGATTCTTAGTGTCGGCTTCCGATGGTTGTTTTTCAAATATCAATTATATATTTCACCCTGACTTTTGTGTAATTATATTAAATCATGCATGACAGTGACAATGTTTCTATTGAAAATTAATCTTCAATCTTTTCTGATTTAATTCAAATTTTACACTTTGGGTGAATCCTTTTTAAATTTGTCTGTCATTTGGATGAAGTAGCTTTTACAAAAAGGTTTTTGTCCGTATCTGTGTAAAAAACTTTTTATTTATTTAATTTGGTAAGTATAGTGGAATTAGAGACAATACATGTTGAATCGTATGCTAAGCTGTTGACAAACTTCACATTGTTCAAACTGACCTGCCATGCACTAAGTAAAATACTCAAGGTTACCCCCGGTTCAAATAAGGAAAAGTTCCAATACAAGGAGAAACCTCAGGAAAAGCAGCAGAGGAGGGATCTCTTACTGAAATACACATGAAATACTGAAAGTGTTGTATTGACACAGGAGGTACCGGAAGAAGGACAAAAGCATGGAGACAATGAATAAATAAAAACAAACATAATCTTTTCATTTTTATTATAATTAGTACCAAATGACCTCTCTAGGAACTATCTTGTGAATTTGCAGTTACATATCAGTTTCAGCATCACACACTCTAAGGGGTGAATTACTTTCACTTTTGCACCGTCTGTAGTGAAGAGACCTAACGTTAAATGCGAAGTGATATTCCAATTATTGCACATCCCCTCTCAATTTTATGAGTTAGTGTCCTGTTGTGAAATTGCCTGTTGCCACTGTATCTAAGGCGCATTTTGAGCGTGCTGCCTTTAAATTCATACCTAAGACCAATTACTTCCAATGGAGGACCATTGACTCTCACCTTCTAGCGGTTATTTATTACAAAACCTGTTTGGTGTGAGCAGCTCAACTTCACATGTTTAGTGCTTTTTCTTCCTGAAATATATCACCAAAAAATATGGATGAATAAAAAAATTTCATCAACTTTATTCTTTACTTGTCAACCACGTCATTTGAGTTTTATTGTGACAGAAAATCCTGATGATTGCAATTCTTCAGTGCGCCACATCAAGTGATCAAAAATATTTGAATGTTTTTATTGGCAGAATCAGTTATAAAATACTCGTTTCAAAAGTGAAGAATAGCATATTTCAAAAAACACATCTGAAATGTCAGTTGCAAGGCACACAGTTCGTGGTTTGTTAGTGCCACAGAACCTCATGATTTCACCATCCCCTTATATACATGTGACAATGACTTTGATCTGTTTGTAAACCAGGATGACACATGAAAAAGTACAAGCTACAATCTTATGATTCAGTTCCTGAATCGGAGTACTGTCTCATGACCTCAGAGTAAATCTCGGCTCCAAGTGCGAGCCTACTTTTAGGTTTCACTCCAAAACACAACGAAAAAGACAGAATCTGTATTCAGAACTTGATGTCTTTTTGGCTCCACTCACAAAATGTTGCTTTTTAAGCCATCAAAAACATACGGATGGGTTTCACTTCAGTTAGTGTAAGTAGTGTATTATTAACACAGTCAGATTTTCTAGAAATCTCACTTTTGACTCATCTGTAGCCATAACACCTTAAATTGTTTAGTAAAATACAGTGAACTGTGTAGTGGCTATAAAAGGTCTGTCAGTGTTGACCAGAAAAACAGGAACATGGGTAATATGCCACGAGCTGTGGAGGACTTCCCTAATCAGTTCTGTTGAACCTCTGCTGTGGCCGATTCAAATACATTTCTCCTCTTTGACTCCATTGATTACTATTTTAAGATAAATGAACAAAAAGGAGAGTTTAAGTAAGCAGCACTACTTCCCCTGGAAAAATCTTTTCCCCCTCCCATGGATTACTCACTTAGATGTTTGCTATCTGAAAAATTAAGCAAGACCATGCAACAAAAACAGAATGGTCATGTCCCTTTAACACAGAAGAACCACCTCATTAATTATGAAATTATAGAGATTGCCTGTATGGTCAAAGACAAATATTATAACTTAGTATGTCCAGCTGAAGTGTTTTCAAGTTAATATTGAGTTCAGAGGCAAGAAACCAGAGACAGAAGACTGAAACTGGTGACAGACAATGAGAATAATTTTGTGCATGAAGATATCAATTTCCACATCCAGATGATTCTTAAGCAACAGTCAGTGTGGTGCAGCTCTTTCTTCAGCCAACACCTAACCCAACCTCTCTCTCTCTCACACACACACACACACACACACACACACACACACACACACAAAATTGCGTAACAATCTTCAAAATCAGCACCTGTGCCCAGAGCAATGGAACAACACGTGGCGGTTTCCCATTAAGTCTCCAGAACATGTGATCCTTTCAAAGCTAAAAAAAAGCTATGCTCTGTCTTAACTGTCCGTACCATCAGATCTGACCCACGAGAGGGAATGAGATGAAATAACCGAGAAGAGAGCCCACAATGACCCCAAGGAAGATCCAGGTGTTGTAGGACATGACGCACAGCATCAGCATGTAGCCCAGAGTCACCTGCAGTATGTGGAGGACTGTCTGGATACCGTGCAGCAACCAGCTGACGAGGGAGGAGAGGAAATACATGAGTTACGCCAGGCACAATACGCCTATATGAGAGGGTCATTACCTCAAATACTTTATTCAGTGTGTGAGTTTAGTCTGTCAACATGTTATAGATTTTCTGAAAGGCTTTGGGTTATATATTGTTTCTGGGTTCAATCATTATGACAGAATAGGTGACAACAGAAAGGGAGGTCTACCTAGTGTGTGAGAAATACTCAGCTCAGTATGAATGGAGGTGCACAGATCTACACAGAGTACAAAGAACACCACACACACTACTACAGAAAGTAGTGAAATGATATGAAGCTCAGAAATCACTTAACGCTACATGTTTGATTTAATATAAAACAAAATGGGGTCAAGAAAACACAGCATAATAAATAATTTCAATATGCCCATGGTAAATCAATATTTTTACCTACTAAGTAAAAAGTCAAAATTTTGATTTACCATAAGCATGTTATTCCTGCCCTGACTAACTTTTCTTGCTCTTCTTTCTGACAACCCTCTGCTATTTTTATTTAAATGATTATAATCTGATTGCAGGGACCCTGACCTGTTTCTGGAGGTGTTTGAAGTAGAAGGGTGTGACTCCATAGGGGTCAGCGAGGATTCAGAGGGACTGCTGTCCAGTACGGAGCTGTTGTCGCTGCGGCAGGACGGCGGGGCTGCATACGGAGACTGGTGCTGAGGCTGGGCCAGCTTCGAGCTCCTCCCCAGCCACACCCTCCACACTTTGAGCAGCTCGTAGAAGACTGTCAGCAGCAAGACCACAACCACTGACAGCACCATCCCTAAAGACACAAGGACGCCACACGCACAAATGAACTCATACAGCTGAACTCAGCGTCACAGTCCTTCACTCATTCCTTGAATACAGTGATGGTGCTTTTGCTTTGACTTTGACTCACTGGTAGCTCACTCGCAAAGGATGCCAGTGTAGTCAGCTTAGATTCATAAGTTACAATGAATGCTACAACGGCAACACACAGTCATGTTTATAAACTAATCATTCATAGGAAATGTTAAAACTATTCCTTATCTGCAAACACACAGCTTCTGGTTGTAACCATAAGACAATTTCTTATATAATACATATAACATTATATAATACATACATACTTTGCCCATTTAAACTGATTTATTGAGGCAAAGTTCTAGTACAGTTAATTCTGTCAAGACAACAATACATACTAAGGCATAAGGAAGTTGCAAAAAAAGAAAAAAAAAAGAAAACCTGCTCATGTTATCTTTAATAACCAAATGTAAGGGATCTGTATAAAAACACATTCATTATTTTGTGCATGCTAAAGATGGACGGGTTTATTTAGTCTCTGAAATATTGATATCTGCTTCAAACTCCCCGTATTGGTCAGGCTCTAATAGTGAACACACTGACAGTGAAAAAGATGAGTGAGCGAGCTGCAAGAGAGGTTCAAGAACTTCCTATGGATGTTCTGATATGTATTTTTACTATGAAACCAGGCCAGCGATTGAATCCACTGTGCCCCTCCACAAAGGAAACCGACTTCTCAGAGCCTCCTTTCAAACCTACAGTCTTGAAATATAGGTTACTGTTCTTTTTCAAAATACACTCATTTAGGTCTGGTGTTACATGGGTGTTTGTTGACATAACACTACATTATGTTTTAACCCGATAAACTGGTTCTAAAAGATCTACTGGGAGAGACCTTCCAGAAGTGAACAACTACACTTAAGTGGAGATGTTTTTTGACAATCTGCAGCTTACCTGCAGGCCCGTGGACATCCCAGAAGTCAAACAGCAGTGTCACGCTGCTCGACACCTCAAACGTCATCTAAAGAAAAAAGTGCACACCATCATAAGCTACCATTCATCGGTTAACTGCTGATCTTAAAGTAGTTTGTTGTAAAACAAAAAAATAAAAAAAAATACCCCGCTCACATTTTGAGAAACATGTGCAATTTAGGTGTTGCAACAATCCTGACATCAGCCTCTTTCCCACCAAGATCAGTCGTGTAAGACCAAGAGCTACTGCACTGCTCTGCGATCCGTCCTCTCCTCTGTCATTTTCTGGCGCAATGGCTCAGAACATCTTTGATTTCAGATCTAAGCTCTTTTTTTGACTCTTACCAGACCCAGACTCTGATAATAAAAAAAAGTACTTCTCAACACAAAGAGTTATGTTTCAGAATAAAAAGCAGCCGTTGTTTAAGAACCGGGAAATATATGTAAGAAAAAAACTAAAAGTTATACACGTCTGTTTTGTGAATTATTTCCTGCCCGAAACAAGCCTGGGAGAAGCTGTGTTCTGCTCCTTCTCTTTCTTCGACTGTCTACTGTACTGTACTATTTGCTTGCTCAGAACCTCTTCTATTCTACATAGGATTTTTGGATTCCTATTTCCTCGTAATTTATGCCGTTCTGAACAAACATCTATTCAGCTGATCGTGCCCCACAATTACAGGATGTATTGTCCAACAAAAGCACACTCTGTTCTGCCCTGCTGCTGTAGATGTGTGACTGACAGAGGAATGTACTGTTTGTGTGTATGTTGTGTGTCTGCTGCCCGGTCCTGGTAGCCCCCCCTGTAAATTCACCACCTGTCCTGGCATGAGTATCTCTCACCAGCTGCACACTGGTGACAGGAAAATTCTAATAACCATAAGCAAAATTAAAATCTTAGGATTTGGACTGTTGGTTGGACATAACAAGATGTCACATTGGGCTCTGAGAACATGTGATGTGCATCCTCTACATTTTATAGACTTTTTTAAGAGATAAGTTTGGGGATTTTGCCTATATTTCAGATAGAGCAGAGAGAGGGGAAATGAGGGAGAGAGAGGGGATGACATGCAGCAAACAGCTTTGGGCTGGACTCAAACCCTGGTCAGCCTTGTACATGGGGCACATGCTCTACCAGGTGTTGCAGTTCTAGTCCATGACATGCCACTATGCATTCAATGTGAACACAAAAAAACCCCCAAATCTTGAAAGGCATCCTTGTTGTTTAGAGGTGTGAAGTGCATATTGTGTTACCATGATATTCTTGAATGGTTTTTTGCATACCACCTCACTTCCAACTTTCCAAATAAAGGCAAAAGCAGTAAAATCCTTAAATAATTATTCTGGTTTATCACATCTTATTTACATCTACCAGTTACAATAACATTGTTTGTAAATTATGTGGAGGTAAAACCAAAAGTGAGTGCACCCGTAATGTTGGTAATAATCCCTCATTGCACCAGAAAGTTGGTCTGTAATGGTTGTTTACAACTATTAGTTTAGGCTCATTTTACCGTTTCACTTCTTTTCTCCTCCGAGTACATGTGGCTGCCATTGTTTTTTTAAAACTCTGATCATCTGACTGCTCATGTTTCTTGCCTGTGTCAGCCGTTTTTGTTATGTCAGCAGTTAACTTTGTGAATACAATGCTATTATTAGAAATGGTGACCAAACCTTCAAAGATAAGAAATGACTGGGTCCGAGTTAGCCATTGAAGAAAAAGAAACAGATGGAAAAAGGAAAAGAGGGAAAACTGCAGAATAGTGTGTTCCACTAAAATCCAGTTACTTTTTGTCTAACTTACTCTCTTACCAAAATAGAGACTCATCGACAACTTCAACAAAGTAAAGGATCAAAGCAACAAGTCTGTAAACAGTGCAAAAGTACATAGAGGACACAAGTATTTAAGGCCACTTGAAAACATTACAGAGAACTTCAATTAAAGGTAACATGAGTCAACAATCCAAATTGAGGCCAGCCAAGGTAATCATTGTGAGCTTATCTTTGAAACTCCTTAAGAAAACTAGATGTATGTTTTCCAGGTGATTGTTGAGGCTGGAAACTGTGACAGCAGTCCTTCAACAAACACTCACAGTACACTTAGAAAAAAAGCCCCTTTTTTTTTTGTTTTTTTTATGCTTTAGCCCATTCTGAGCATTTTCCAAGTGCATACCATAACTTTTCAGATGTTTTCCAAACTGCCAGGCAGCTGCTGGTTGCCATTCATGTCAGTAGTATAATAACTTGCAAAGACTTAGCAGAGTCTTGAAATGTGCCTATGGTATTCAAGTTTAATTGAATTGCCATTTTAAAAAATACAATTATTATCGCTGAAACATTGTTTTTCTTTGATATAGCAGAAAAAATTTAAATGTCAGGTATTTAAATCACAACAAAAAGTTGACTGCATAGTATGAAATGCAGATGAGGCATTACATACTATGCATGCATAGTATGTAATGCAAGCGCATATACTGTAGCTGAGTAATATTATCAACTTTGTTTGTAAACCATCAGCCCCAGATTGTGCCTCTGGTGTTTTATCTGGTGCCTCATATGTTTTTTTTAATCAAAGCGATGTGGCTGTGTGCTAATGCAGTGTCTGCTCACTGACATCTATGGCTGCCTGACAGGGAGGAACAAAAATACATAGTACAATTCTAAATAGCTATGGTTCAATTACCAGGCAATTACTGTAAAGCACCTGCGATTCAAATGGGTTAAATGTAGGGATGCGCAATACGTTAACTGGATATGATCATACGTTGACTTTCTGTGGACTTTATGTACTGTATCGTTATGATATGATCATGCCATGTTATCCTTTTACAAAACGACGTTGTCCAAATGAGTTCAAGCAAACTGTAGCTAAAAAACAAAAACAAACAAACTCGGTTTTCAAGGTTTTTGTTTAACTTAAGTGTGTTGAGTAACGTTACTTTGAATACTTTCAGCCATACTGCCCCTATTTATATGGGCTCTTTAAAATTAGCCTAAAGGTTTCACGGGTCTTTTTAGCTGTTTCAGGTAACTTATCCCTAAACTTACTCTCTAAACTGGGTGCACTGTTGTTGACTGACGTTAACTTATGTTGCAACGACACGCTTTAACCTGCAGAGTAGTAACGTTATTCCAAATGCAACAAGACGTATTCAAGACACATAGGAAGTATATACTTGATACTGTGACTAGCTACAATCACACAACTTACGGGCATCATGGTGAACTTGCTGAGCGTAGGCTAACGCCACAGTTTCAGCGGTGCAGTTCAGCTCAAATCCGAGCCATTCCTTACAAGTACGTCGGTAGTAACCAGTGAGCCAACTGCTCTCAGGCTAGCGTTACCTCGTGACTCCTGAAGAACAGAGGGCTGACGGTTAGTGGAGTTTTTCAGCAACTGAAAACAAAGAGCAACTGCGACAAAATAATCGAAACGGTAATATAGGTCCAATTAAAGTCGTCCGGAAACGCAAATGTTATCGTCGATGTCGAGCATGGTGGGTAAAAGTGACAACAATTTGCACAGTTACAACTAATATTTAGCTAACGTTAGCCGAGAACTCACTAAAGGCCGATGGACAGAGATGTCACGCATGCGCAAGATGAATCCGCAGTTTATTTACGACAAATGTTTGGATCACGTGACGGACGGAGTCAGCCGAAACTATTCGTAGCTTTTCGGCTGCTTCCGCTATAAAAGCCACTGTCAAAGCAAGGCAGGCCAAGGCTTCATCAGCGGAGAAGCGGTGACAAACGGCCTTTCATTGTTGACAGTTGTTACTGGAAGGAAGCTGTTAATAATTGGGAGAGATAACCATAAACACCCTTATTGGGAGGTTACTTTCTTGTTTTTATCACGTTTTTTTCTTAATTAGGGTATTAATTAAGGTAGTCTACAACCATAGCCTACAACGTTACATTTTTTTTTTTAGATTTCATTAGCCTATACAATATTGTTTTACCGTGCACTGTAGGCTATGTATCTATTGCTATGTTTGTCCCTTATTGAAGATGCAAACATCATCATTCTTTAATTGTTGTCTGAACTGTTCTGTCTATTTTATGCAAAATACAATCTCTGCAGTGTCTATCTAAATAGATTTTCTTCTGCAGCTCCAGCAGCCTGCCACCTCAGCCTTAGCAGAAACCTTTATCCCAGCCTTATCCTTTTGATTTTAGTCTCTATTGGAATGGCTTCTCTTGGCTGCCATTTTGTACATGCAGTTTTTAGGACAACTGATAACCATTTTCTTTGAGGGTTCTCATCCATGGGTTGTACTCACATTTTCCAGTAACCATTTACACTTGTCTTATGCACTGTTTTATCTGTGTTCAGTCAGAACATATAGAAATATTTTCTTGTGTGTAATGCACTTTTAATTGCTTTCCTTCTGGTTGAAAGATGCTATAACTCTCGAAAAGAGGGGAAAACATGATCCCATTTTAGAAACACAACATAATAAACAACATGTCATATCATTTTATTGTTATACTGTACAGTACAACTTAGATTCTGCACTGTAAGTTGAAATATTACATTTACTGATTGAGGTGCTACTGTTAGTATCTGCATACGGCACCTGTAAACAGTTTACAAGTAGAAAAATACAAAACCAGACACCACTCATCAATATGTGAGGGGGGAAGAATGAAAAAAAGAACACAGAATAAGTGGGGCTTCATAAAGCTATAGTACCTTTTGGTAGAGAAGAATTTAACAGAATTAGGATCGATAAAGGCAGCGTGAAATGACTTCAGGGAGCTGTTGCAGCACTCTTAGAAATGAGAGGAATTGCACATACTTTTCTAAAACAAGAATAAAAACAAATTCAACAGGTCTAAGGTCCAGTGTCCTCACTGTTTTTAAAAGCTACATTTGTATACATCAAGTGCACTTAGCACAGTCCACAGGAGACAAAGCAGGAAGAGTTGCACCAGCACATCCCGACATCCTTCCTGACAGAGAAGATCACACAAGCTCCTGTAAGGAGTGTCGGGAATCCAGATTGTTTAAGGCATGCATTCACAATAATGTAAAGCCAGAACACCAACATGTTCGGTGACTGGCAGATTTCCAACAGTAACAGAAGTTTGCCTGTGGAGATGTCAGAGCTGGTGTGCCTCAAAAAATGAAATACAAATTCTGGAAAACGTGGTGATCTAGGAACCAACACCAGCAGCGCGATTGTTTTTTTGTTTTTTTTAAATTCACTGAAGAGACTTTAAGATTATACTAAACTGTGGTAAAATAAGACAAACATCAATAATCTCACAAACATTCAGTCCAGCAGTTGTGCTTAAGATTTCAGTTTCCCACACAAAAGTGACATTGACCATGTGCCGTTGTTTTTACAACACAGTAGTGCTGCGTGATATGGGTGAGATCATTATAATTATATAAATAAGGATATTTGGCGTCATCAAGATATGACACAGTTTAACAAATGTATGGAAAATCACATAAAGAAATCAAACTGATGTTCAAAGCAAGGAATTTGAAATTGTAGCATCTGAGTGAAAACAGACCACAGGGTGAACTCTTAAATTAGTCACACACACGCATCTACACGAACAGTAGATGTGCACTCAGAAATGCATGTACTCAAAGTGAAAAAAGTGCTGTATCATCTGAACCGACTGATTTCAGAGGATCCTCATCTCACTAATGTAACACTGAAAGAAAATTAAGGCTACAAAGGGGAGAAAAAAACAACATACAATCTCGTCATTTAAGATTCTCAGTCAACCAGGACGAAGTTATCCAAGGAGTGTTCCAGCTGCACTTCATTTAACCCTCCTTGGATAACATACAATCTCATTCAGACTGCTCATTCATTCACTGCTCACTGTGTATTGTTACTGTTTACTGTGTTTTATATTGCGTGTATCGGGTGAATGGTCTGAGGGCTGTGCTGCTCTGTCTGTTGTAGTATGTCTGAATTTGTTGTTGTCTATTCTGACGTTGTTTATGCACCTTGGTCTGTCCGAAACGACATTTATGCTCATCTGTCTCCTTGTATGCGGAAGAATGACAAAGTAGACTTGACTTGAGACTGAAAAGATGATGAAAAGCACTGGCATCACATCTTAAAACAACAACAACAACGTATTTCAAACCCCAATCTGTCAGTTCTGCTCAACAGTTCTGCTAAACAGCTGCAAGAAAATAAGATGTAAAATGGTACAGCAGACATCAGTTGGTGCATTGCAGAAGCAGGGACTCGGTGAAGTGATTCCGTTTGCATGCCTGATAATGTTAAGCTCCAGGGAGCTTTCTGGACAAGGTAAAGCTTGCACCAACAATGACCACAAGAGGGCAGAGAAAGACTGCGTCAGTGCTGCAAGCTTCCTATCCAGCAGCAGGAAAAACAGCCTAATCTGCAGACAGGCTGTCCTCTGAATACAAAACTGGTGTCAAAGCAAAACCTCTCAGTTATTTGAGCCAACACAGAGTGGAAGTATAGAAATATTAGATCAAGATATTTCCAAATATAAGAGCATGTCAGTGCATAGTATGCTCTTCTATGTGTTGAATTTCAACATAAGTGATCTTGTCTAGAAACTAAATATTTTTAAACATAAAAATGTAAATATTGCAATTGTTTGATTCATGTCGATAAAAACAATGTTTAAAAGTATATCACTTTTGTGTGACTGGATTAGTTTGTATAACAATTTTGAAGCTAATTTTATTTAGCTGCTATCTGTATTTCAGTTTACACAACTGAGCTGTGTTGCTGAGCCACCATGTCTTTAAACTTTAAAGACATACTTTAGACCTTTTTAAAGCCCCTATGTGTAGGATTCAACAAATTGCTGACCAGCAACTTCCAGTGGTATAATAAAAAAAGACACACAGCAATGCGTGCTGCTACTGTACACACAGACTCATGGGACTGTCTAATGTTTCTTCAAACAAAGACTTAAAATAAAAACTTTAAAGAGGTTCTGATCATAGAACAATCCCACACACAGGGGTAGGTGTCACTAGCTTTCCAGACCAACCACAACCTCTGACAATGGGTTCTCTTTCTCAGTTTCCAGCGTGAAGACAGCTCTGCCCCGCTGATGATGAGGACTAGGTTAACTAAGACACAAACAGACAGCAGTGGACCACAATAACAAGAGCACAATTGAAACAAGACTGCAAAAAGGCAGACATTTGATCTCACCAAACATGAGCCTTCAGTAGGCCGAAATCATTTACAAGGCATCACAGATGCAAAAATTCATTGCAAAAAACCAAACTATACAGATTTTACCCTGCCTCATTAAAGGAACATATCCAATCACTGAATATCCTAAATGCTGTACAACACTTCTTTTAGGCACAGTGATGTTCACCCGTTCTGTCTGACACTACCTGGTGGGACTAAGGTGAAATTAAAACTTATAGTCAATATGTGATCCCTTTTTTCACTTATTAGAGGACAAAGAAACAATCTTTGGGATGTTTGGGGGTGGAGTAATGGTCCACCCTCTTGAACCCAGCGTGTCTATTTCCTGATTTGTCGGGAGCCGAGTGCAGACATGTGTGGGTGGCCGTGGCCATGATGCTTCATTATCTGCTTCCTCCCTACTGTCTACTGTTGAAACTGGAGTTGACGCTACTGCAGCTTTCCTCGTAAGTGGGTGGAGGTTCTGTAACACACAAAGGCAAAACAATAGTCAATAACACTATGGATAGTGGAAGTCCCACTTCCTCTCTGAGCCTTTGTACCACTAGTTTCTGTACAGCAATGGATTTTGGTCACATGTATTTTTTTCTTCCATCTGAAATGCTGAAAGATGTTGCTGCGGTTTTCTGTCAATATTGTAAAATAAAAGTGAATATACAACTGTACTGGACAGTGCTTTTTGTCCACTTCATACATTTTCAACCAAGATAACACAAAGAGCATGGGGCTTTTCCACATTTTGACTTGTCATAGAAGAACTAGGTTTAAGTAATAACAATTACGCAGTGGTTGTTATAGAATTATTATAGGATTATTGGGTTTCAACTATAGATACTTCAGCAACCACTTTATTGAACGTTGAAAGTAAAATTTTGCACAGCAAAAATATTTATTCAAGTTCTAGTATAACTCTTTGTTTTAGCAGTCATACATATGGAAGCTCGTGCAGTGTCATGTCATCCATAACTGTTTACAGCATTATAAAATGTTTTTCTCTGTTCCAAGCTTAACATTGCTCCTCAACAGAACTGTAATTTTAGCTGCTGTCCATTGTGGGGACATCAGACAAAAAACAAATGTGGGCTTGTGACAGTTCAAACAACAACCTGATGGTATTTTTTTTGCACACTTTACAAACACATTACAGAATTTTGCTGGATTGTACCCATACAGGTTTTGTCTGTTGTTTGACTTATCTGGTTTTAGAGACTGAACTTAGAAACTGAACTGAAACCACATTACCTGTTTTGACTGTGGTAAAAATCAGTCGATGCTTTGATTATCTTTTTTTCCAGGGATATATCGTATCTTGTGTGTTCCTGTATGCATCTGTGCATTTGTTTGTCTGTGTGTCAGTGTGTAAGATTTTCCGAGGAACTAACCATGCGGGTAGTCCCAGCTGCTGTACTCTGGAGGGAGGATGAGAGAACAGGAAGTGGGGATAGGAGTCACATTTCCTTCGGTGAAGAAAGGTATGGTGGCCCCAGTGGACACACAGAACAGAGGAGCTGATGCGTCGGGCCGTCTGTGGCTGGGAGGAAGGGCAGCACCGGGTGCGTGGCTGAAGGCACTGGGGGACATGGTGACCGACTGACCTGAGGGATCCTGCTGAGAGTGACTCTTGGTAGGAATCTCCTCACTGGCTAAACCCCCTGCACACAGCCCGTCCTCTGGGTCCTCCTCCACCGGCGGGGCGCTTGGTGTCACGCCTGCTGCGCTTGGTGCGATGGTCGCAGCGCACTGGTCTAGACTGGCAGGTATGGACCTCGACGGAGACAAGTTCACAGCGATGTTCCCAATGTAGATGGGCAAGGTGACGACTACTTCTGGAGATTTTAGAGACACCTGTAACACAAGAATGACTTATGAAGGGAGCCTCAAATTAGATTTTACATGTATACGGCAATATAGTTAAGGCTCATTACATTTAGTTTATAGTTTGTAAAATCTGGGCATTTATCAGTGTTTAAAATTCTGATAAAAATAATAATATAGGGAAGAAAATCTGATTTCAAATTAAATTTGAAAACTTAAATTTGGAATGCAACCACTCTGCTGTTTCTTTCTTAGCTTGCTTAAAGAGACAGCTGTGAGAAACTCATCAACTGTAAAGTACTGTGAACAGATACAGGAAACACAACTTCACGCTTCATGAGAACATAAAATGTGGGTAAAAAGTGGTCCAAACAGATCTGTTCCTTTTTGACATTCTATATTTTTCTTATTGTCATTAGATCTAACAAAAATAATTGATTCTACAGTACTAACTAGTATCCAAAACCTGACACATATTACTCCTCTGCACCACAGAACTCCCCTGTGTGAGCCACAGTTTTGCACTGTTGACATGTCCCTTCATTACAACAATGAAAACACACACTGTAGTTTATTATTTCAGTCAATTCTAAATACCCCGTCTTGCAGTTGTAAATACTCATTAGATCACCAAATGTGTACTAATTTGCAGATGAAAATAGTCCCTAGCAATATTTGATTTACTCCTTCTGGAATAACATTTAACAACAACTACAGTGCCCAGCTGTTTTAGGAAATTGTTGTTGTTTAAAAATGGATTTTCGAGTGGTCTTTTATTGTGGTCAGCCTAAGGCACACCTGTGCAATCCCCATGCTGTCTGATCAGCATCTTGATATGTCGCACCTGTAAGGTGGATGGATTATCTCGGGAAAGGAGAAGTGCTCACTAACACAGGTTCTGACAGATTTGTGAACAATATTTGAGAGAAATAGGCCTTTTGTGTACATAGAGAAAGTCTTAGATCTTTGAGTTCAGCTCATGATGAATGGGGGCAAAAACAAAAGTATTGCGTTTATAATTTTGTTCAGTTTATATACTTGTCAGCTGTTTTCAAAGATTTGTGTTCAGCAGGAACCAGTAGGCTTGGGGCTGAGAGCCAAAGACAGGATTTAGTGACACATACAAAATACAGACTCACACCAGCCTTATCCTTTAAATATGCTATAGATGTTAAGGATTAAAACTATACAAAAAGGATTAGATCTATATTTTTAAACGTTAAAAGGCATCAGAAAATGGACTACATTATATTGACACCCTAAAGGAGATTAGTGTGAAAATATAGCACATTTGTCTGTGGCAGTTGTAAATAATAACATTCTTTTTTTGATGACAAAATAGGCTGTTGAACAACGGATCCAAGTAAATAATCAATTTAACATCCCTATAATATTAAGAGGGACAGTGCCAGTGAGTTCATAATGAGTGTCATCAATAATTCACTGGTTTCAATCCAGAGGCATTGAATACAGTAAACAAACATATTATTACATCAGTGTTTGATGTTGTAGTCTGTCAGAAAATAAATATGTATGTATGTATCATTTACAATATTTACAGTAACAAATTTGCTCTACATTTAAATACATTGTGTAGGTTTATGACGGTGCCATCAACCTAGTACAATGTTTAAAACAGACACACGCTCTTACCTGAATGAAATAGTCGATGTCTATGAGGCTGCAGCCGCCCAGCGCTGACTGAGGAAGAGGAGGGACGATGATCTGTTCTCTCCACTCTGCGTGCTTTCCGGCCTTCACTCCGGCTCCCTCCACCTCTGCAATGGTCCGCAGGTCAAACACAGGCCGCTTGGTCTTATAGGTGACTTTCTGGTGGGTGGGTGGGTGGGGGGAATGGACACAGAAATAAAAAGATGTGATAGTGAGTTTAAACTACTTCACCTTTTTTTGTGAGAAAAAAAGAACAAAATCATATTTCCGAATAAGTTAGCCGGTTGAGAGAAAGGTGTATTGGTAAACACATAATTATTACTAATTATATTTAATAATCTACCTGTAAAAGACTGGCTAATACATATCCCGTGTCTTTCCCAGACTTGTTGTGGATCTCGGCAGCTAACTTGATGACCTGACCGGGGATGTAACCCCTCAGGTCACTGTGAGCTTTCAACATCAGGGTTCCCGTCTTCACCAGGAGGTAGCTGAACTTCTTAGTGGTCACAGCAAAACTCGGATCCTGTGGAGGCAGAAGTAACAGGATAAACGTTTGTTTGTGCCTTGCTAGTCATTAAGAAGCCTCGTAAGCTGAAGCTGTGCAGATAATCTATTCCTGCTTAGTGCCAGAGCATCATCAAACTCTGAAAGTCATGACGGGAAGGGTGTGACTCAGAAGTAAGTAATGCAGGGGAGTCAAGAAGAAAATGAATTAGATCCTGCGCTGCCATGAAATCAAATAAGCTTCAACCAAGACAAAGGTTGATACATTAGAGAGAGAGATCCATTACAACATTACATAAGGCTCCTTCTGTCTCTATTAGGGGTGGGGTAAAAAATCGATACAGCGTAGTATCGTGATATTTGCCATGGCAATACTGTATCGATACACTGACGCCAAGTATCGATATTTTAGTATATAAATTGCAGATGGGAGTTTTAACTTTTTGGTACTAGAATAATAAAATCTATTGCTTTTTTAGCCCACTAGAAAACTTAACAGGACCATATAGATGACTGAGAAAATGAACAAAACAAACAGAGTAGTGTATCTTTTTAGATAAACAGATGTTGACAAAGTTTGACTTTAGGGACCTAATTGGAAGTTGGAAAAAGGTAATAAATTGCAATATATCTCAATATATTTAAAATCGCAATAAAATCGAATCGCAACATAAATATCGTTATGATATCGTATTGTGGGGCCTCTGGTGATTCCTACCCCTAGTCTCTATATGAACAACTTTTTTCACTGCTGGATTTACTCATCAAAAGTAGGCAGATGTGTGCACTGAACACTTACTTCAATGTTAGGGACCTCATTGAGGTTGAGCAGGTTGAGTAGGTAGAAGGGCCTCTGGGCTTTGTAGTCCTTAGAGAAGCGGGGGGTGTCAATAACCGCCTTGACACGGTAAACAATCTTCCCAAAGGGTCCCTCAAAAGAAGTCGGGACAGCAACTGAAGAGAGGATTGGGGGAAAATTCCATACAGATATCACTATGAAGACAGTTATTGACTGAATGAAGTGACCGGTGTAAGGACTGCTATAGCCCATACGTTTGAGTTATTAATCAAAATGTAAAAATAGTTACTTTCACATGCAAAACAGGCATTTTACAGCATCAATAACCCATAAAAGTACAAAATGCTGCTGATAATTCAATTGTTAAACATGACCAACATTGACACGTTGTTACAGATTCATTCATGTGCATAAGTATCGTGACAACTATTCTTTCTTTTATTGAGACAAATTATATTACAAAGAAAAGAAATTCAAGTTCAGAAGTACACATCTCTACATATCTAAAAAGAGAGACAAAGAATTATAGAAAGAAAAAGACAAAGAAAGAAACTGTTTGACTGATAACTCATTGAATCTGTTGTGCACCAGAAGCTCAGTGAATTAACACATTCTTTAATAAAAAGGCTATGTTAAATCAGGCTAAAATGCAGTTTTCTTTTATATTGTTACTAGAAGGGGGAAGACAGAGCTGCAAGCCTCTATCAGAGCTGTCACAAGATGTAAGGGCCGTTCAGACTGATTCCAACACAGCTCAGAATGGAAGGACACTGATTGCTTTTGTGACTCAAGGAAAGAGCGGTGGCAAGGAGGAAACAGGGAGGGGAAAGGCTGGAGGGTAGGAAATTTAAGAAGAGTGAGATAAAAATATCTATTTGGGGAGACAGCAGCCAGGCAGACAAAAGGAGAGAGACGCTCAGAGCCAGAGGAAAGGGAAAAACACACCAGATTCAAAATCTCCTCTGATGTTGTCATCTGTACAAACAATCTGCATATAAATTAAAAACAGGATGTACAAAAAGGTGATTAATGTGAAAGCTGAGCCACTTTCTCACCCTCACTGTTTTAATATGTTTCTTTTTCCCATTAATGCTCATTCAGATGTATGAATGTAATGCTGTTAAATGCAAGCAGCAGCTTCAGGGACAAGTCTGCTGCTGCTGTCAATAAGAATTAACCACGAGAGGCTGGTTATTGTTGTTTTGTTGTGGACAGCTTGGTAGCAGAAACAGAGCTGTGGACGGACTGACAGAGGAGAGATTGAAGCACCATGCTGGCTTTCCGTGGAGACACACCAGACTGAGCGGCTCATGGCGGCTCAATCTGTACGACGACTATCTAGCCCGACTTGTTCTTTTACAGACAAAGACCTTCCTCTGCCTCTTTGAGCTGCAGTTGTACTTAGGGTGACCACATGACAAGGGAGTTTGGTATACCTGTCAACCCTCCCGTTTTCTCCGGGCTGCTCCCGTATTTTAGCGTTTTATCCCGCTGTCCTCCTTTTTAAATATTTTCCCGTAAATCTCCCACGCATGCGTCTTACTTTGTGGCTATAACAATGATACCTTTCAGTCCCTGCTGTAGCCAATGCAGAGTGTAACAGTGCCCATCTGTGGGCAACACCAAAAAAATATTTCACAATGATCAGTATTCAATGTTTCATTAGGCTATAACTCAAACAGAACAGGATTTGGGACAACTGCTCATAATTCGGGATGGTCATGAATCATTCGGGACATCTGGTCACCCTGGTTGTACTTCAACTAGCCCCCCTGAACATTTCCTCTTCAGGATGGACTTGTGTATGTAGGAACCTAGTAAGCTCTTGTTTATTTGCACGACAAAAGAGGTCTTGGCACCTACATTAAAACTGGGCTAGTGAATCATGTTTCCTTGACTGTGAATCACGCCACCATGAGGTTCACGTTTGTATTTTTTGCAGTTGCTGGATGGATTGTCATGAAATTATGTACGGACAACCACGATCCCCTCAGGATGAGTAGTAATCTCTTTGGTGATCTCTTGACTTTTTAATTTACGCCATCATCAGGTCCAAATTTCAATTTGCCATAGTAAATATTACCTTCTTAACATTAGCATTTTAGGATTGTCCTTACAAGCATGTTAGTATGCTGACATTAGCATGTAGCTCAAAGATGACATACAACCTCACGGAGTCACTAGCATAGGTTGAAGACTCTCAGTCTAAGTTACATATAAACTTAACTATCAACTACATCTACAATAACTAAATTTCAGTATGTATCAGTCCTTAATTACAAGTTGAAATATAGTCATTGAAATGCTGTATCATTTCCTAACCTAGATGTCTAAAAAATGTTTCAGTCATCATCCAAATTTCGCCCAGTTTAGACCTCGACCTTTGACTTTCAAATCATCAATGCTTACTTGACAACCAAGACTGTCAAAGTAATCTTTTTTCAAATTGTGTTTAAAGCAACATTATGTAGTTATCAAAATATAAGCTTGCAAAGCTGGCCTTCTTGATGTTGGACTAGTCAGTAAAAAATTATTAACTGGCTTGCTGTGTCTTGTGTCTGTTACGTTACTGTAAGTGCTCTTGAGTTGGTTGCTGTTTAGCTTTGTTGGCTAACTTGCAACCCAAGCTACAAGCAACATTAGGCTACGCTGCTACTGGTGGAGAGCAAGCGAGCCGGTGAGCGAGCAACATAACTGGGCTCAGCAGCCTCCATGGACATAACGTTAGCTAATGCCAGAGGCGTAGAGACCGAAGAGGACGTTGACGGAGGAAGTGAGGAAGAGAAAAAGAGAGTCACAAGCAAGAGGCTGTTGGGGAAAGCTTTGTGAAATAAAAGGCTGAAAGACAGACGCCAAGCTGGCATTATTTCTGTTAGAGTAGTAACTAATATTGTCTTGTGTTGTCGCACTTGCTTGATGTTTGGCAGTGTTAGCAAGTTGTCAACTTCCTAGTTTTTGATCATAAGTGTAATGTCAGAAAATCCTTTCCGATATGTGTTTCATCTATTATTCCGACACTTGTATAATAATAATAATAATAATAATAATACATTTTATTTATAGGCACCTTTTTGAACACTCAAGGTCACCTCACAAAACATAATAAAACAGTACAGCAATAAATCGATAAAATGAACAACTATAATTACAGTGCAGAGTTCCAGAAACGGGCAGATCGGCTGAAGGCTCTGAACCCCATGGTGGTCAAACGAGCTGGAGGTACAGTGAGGTGAATAGAAGAAGAAGACCTAAGAGTATGGGTGGGGGTGTTAATATGAAGGACGTTAGTGAGGTACAGAGGAGTGAGGTTGTGAATGGCCTTGAAGGTCAGGAACAGAATCCTGAAATCAATGCGGTATTTAACTGGGAGCCAATGAAGCTGCTGGAGGACAGGAGTAATATGATATATGAATATAATATCCATACACTCGTACATTAGTACTTGTACTAATATAATATTAGCTTTGTTGTCCATTTACTAATGTTTATGCTGTGGTAAATGGAACAGCTTGCTAGGTTTTATTGTGTTCCCTCTGTGCCCTCTCACTCTGTAAATATGTTTAGACTTCATGAAGGCCAAGGAGCCTCTGTTCCCTAAACATACACTGAGCACTGTGACAATGAGCTAAATTGTTATACACTCCTTTGTTCTGGGCCAGATGTTAGGTGGGGAATCCCTGGACCAGCTGTTACTTTCTCCTTTAATACATCCACCAAAAGTAAACGTTTTGTTGTAATTTATTTACTTGTTCAATTCTCCCCAAGGAAATAGATTAATTTCCACAACAATAAGTAATGTAATCATCAGCTGTACAGCTGTCCTTATTTACGACAGCAGTGTAGAATGGGAGCCAGAGTGTTCAGCTATCAAGCTCCTCTGCTGTGGAATCAGGTTCCAGTTTGGTTTCAGGAGGCAGACACCATCTCCACATTTAAGAGTAGGCTTAAGACTTTCCTCTTTATAAAGCTTATAGTTAGGGCTGGCTCAGGTGAGTCCTGAACCATCCCTTAGTTATGCTGCTATAGGCCTAGACTGCAGGGGGACTTCCCATGATGCACTGGGCTGCTCTCTCTTATCTTCTGAATGCAACCGTATCCCATTAATGCACGTTACTAACTCGACTTCTTCCTTCTTCCGTAGTGTTGTGCTTTCTCATCCCTCTCCTTTCTCCTATCGCTTTCTGCAGGTGTTTCTGGCTCTGGAGTCGGACCCTGTGGCTGTGAGTCACCTGCTGCCCTCCTATTCGTGCTCAACATCTGTTGCTACAATTATTACAAGGCCTATTATTATTATTATTATTATTATTATTGTTGTTGTTAATATCACTATAATAATATTCATTTTCTATACTAATGCTACTTTTACAGTTTGTATTGTCTGTGTGGACACTGTGTGCAAAACTGACATAATGTTCCTTAATTTTGATGGACGTGGTTCCACTAGAATTAAATATTGGAATTTAGATCTCAACTTCAGAGCTGTACAGATCGAGTAGAGAAGGTTTTATCTGCTAAACAGGGAAGGAAATTGGTTGTGAAAATAAATCCTGTTGGGAGGCAACACTTTATTTAATGTCTGGCTTGCCAGGAGAAGCAGCACACATTTCACACACTCAGTTTGGCTGACAGTATTCTCCCTGATTTGGGTATAGCATGCAATGAGCTCAGGATTGATGATTTGAAATGTATCACAGTTGGCAGTTTCATTTCAGAAATAAACAATGAGACAGGAGGATATTTGGGGATTTTATCATCTGCTGTGGCATTTGGAAAATTTAGCACTCTATTAAAGTGTATCACTATTCTCATCTCCTCTGTGCTGTTCTCTTCTCTTCCTGAACTATTTCATCTAACCCTATTTATCCCACTTAGTGTCCTTGTACTTGTCCTGAGTTTATCTCAGCCTACGCCTTCCTCTTCTCTTTGAATTTCTTTATTCCCTCAGTGAAAAATGATCAGGCCAGAACAACACCTGATGCCTCGACTGCAGATAACTGGGCTGGGCTTGTCAGAAGAAATTATGTTATGTGCTTTGTTAAAAAATACTGACGTTACAGGCTCCTTCTCATAACTACCCATTGTGAACTTGTGAGACCCATCCTCCCAACTCTACCATGTCCATCGTCATTCAACCAATTTCTACTGATCATCTCCTTTTCTCGACATCCGCTTGTTTTTTGCTTATTTTATAGTTTTTCCATAAATAAACTAATGCAAAGGAATTATTAAAGTTCAGATTTATTGACTTTACTGTAAATAAAAATCAGATGACACTAAATTATACTAGCTTTTAACCTTGAAACTGACACTTTGTTTACAAAGCAAACATGATTAATGAGACACAGCTACCAAACTACATGAATAAATTAATTATATTATATGGCTGTTGAGTGTTTTGGCTTTTTCTTAACTGATGCATTTATAATTTATTTTGACAAATGTACTCTCAGGACCAGTTTATTAGGGAGACAGAGATAAAATAAATATAGTCTAATACTGCAGTCCTGCCATAAATCCTACCATAATCAAGGTTATCATGTTTTAGTTGAACCAATTACTTTAGAGAAGTATTTTTTTCTTAAACATCTTCAGTCCTAATAATATATAGAAAACACTGTAACATGCACATCTCTTCCTTACGTGATCCCCGCTAGCTTGATGTAGCTGCGTACACCAGGCACACAGGATTATTGCCAGTCACAGTGCAAATGGACTGACTGCATTCATAAGTGTTGTGTGTTTTGATGCTGACATGCTTTTGTATCTACAAATAAACATTTCTCACAGACAATAGAAACTTCATTGTCATCACCATTTCTTTAAATCCTGTGTTAAAAGTCGGGTGGCTTTGGTTTGGTTCCACCTAAAGATTTGCTTGATTTGCTGCAAGTCTGTTTTAAAGGTTTACAAGAGCCTATCAGTCAGTGTTAAGTACCAGCAGGGGGCAGTAGGAGACACTTTTTCTCCAATGCGCCACTTATCATTACATGATAGTTAACATGCCCTGTGCTGATGCTCTCAAGTCTGAGGGCCTGAAAGGAGGGGAGGGCGAAGCATGGGGGCATAAAGACCAATTAAACAGTGACTGCAGAACAGGAGAGGGAACTAAAAATAACCCAAACCCCCCTGTGCTTCAGCCCACGCCTGAGAGAATGTAAGATACCAGAGAGACACTGCACTGTGTGTGCCCTCACAGGTGTTCAGTTGATCTTTGCATTACTCGCATGGTCGTGGTGTTTCAAGTTTTTTGTCAGGAAATATCAACTTAGCCGCATTTAGAAGGTGTTTGTGAACAAGTGGCATGCGGAATAAAGATGCACTAACACGCTGAAGTATCACAATTAGCCTGTTCAGCATTTATGTAACGATGAGCAAAGACCTGCGTGTGTCTGCCATATGTCGGAGACAAAGGGCTAAGGGCTGAACACTGAAGTACACATGCTAAAAAAAGTCCACTGTTATCAGAGGTTATCACACCTGCATGCTCCTTTGACTGACGTCATCTGGGCCTCTGATAAGCATAAGAAAACCATTACGGGAACTGAGGGTGCGCCTCTGACATGGAGGAATGAGGTTAAGTGGGTCAACAAGGTTAATCCTACACTCACCTGGAATGAGAAACTGGAAAGGGAAACTGTGTTCGCCTGCCGGCAGAGTTCCTGCAAAAGAGCAAGGTTTATCAGTTACACAGTACACACAGAGTGGAAAGGAAAAAAATTAAAGTGACATTTACAGCTGCACATGTAGTGATAATTCTCAGGGTTTGTGTGTGTATGGTTCTATTTATTTCAACATCACATATCCCTTTGTAAACATTTAATGTCCAGGTGAGGCACCATGCCTGTTGGGCTCACCTACTTTCCCAGTGGGATGGAGATTTGGAGACAAACAGGTTTTTCAAAGATAGTTGTCTTTTCTAGTGAATGAAACTAGCGACTGAAACCAATGGGCCAGTGTCAGAGGAAGTGGCACACAGTTGGTTGGTTGTGACAGCCAACACGTGTAGCTGAGAAAGTTGGAGCATTTCTCAGCACGTTGAATCAATGATTTACAAGCACAGTAAGGCCATCAGTGATCGACCCAAGACTAAGTGCATTCTGCTGCTCTCGAACAACATGTACAGGTCATTGTGCCAAGCCTTCCCTTTAAAATTAAACAAAAGGTCTGGTTTTATTTTAGATTTTTGTTATTGACAACAAATCCAACAACAGACCAAAACCAACAACCCTGGATATCTTTCTAAAGTGCAACAGCATCAGTTTGCAAACATTGTATTTCGGCTGTTATCAGACGACACAAACTGAAACTGCTGTGTTTTTAGAAACATGTGGCCTTCTGAGCATCTCAAAAGGAAGTGCTTTGAAGTGTGAAGAGTGTTTTGTAATAAAACAAACTCCGTTAAGTACAATTTCTAAGAAAATCAGCTGGTTATTACAGTGTCTGCAGCGTTCAGATATGGCACCAGTTGACTAACTGCTTTACAACCGGACTATTATTATTATCAGCGTTTTCTCTGTTTACCAAGAAACAAGATCACTTTTCCACTAGGATTTTTAAACAACAAATTCTGATTTCAGAAAGTTCTCAAATATCTCAAAGTCTCACATATTTTGAGGACATGCATTTCTTGCTTGTGGCTTTAATTTTAGTGTGACACACTAAAATGAATTGAAGGCACCAAAAAGGGCCTTCCCCTCCCTGTCACACTGAGAGCACTTTGAGCCAGTCGGGTTATTAATTCTCTACATAAGCTGAAAGCCCAATTAAATTCTTCCATACAGCAACATGTCTCCTCATTATGGACGGGCACAACTTTTTCCGTTGGTCTCAGTTTCCTGAGGGGAAGTGCTCAGACGGGGTTCATTTGCATCATGTTTACTGCTAGAGGAAGCAGTCACGCTCTGAACCAGTGCTGTGCAGGTGCAACAACCACTTTGTATATTTTTGCAGAGAGCCTAGCTAACACAGGTACAGCCAGAAAACAAAACATGGTGAAAAAAAGAGGGGTAGATTAGATTATATATTATATAGAGCAAGCTGTTAAGAGATTCATAACCTCAGCGTATTAACCCTAAACATATTTGATCAAGCATGGACAATTCAAACCTATTCTTCCTACAGCACTAAGAACTAAAAAGAAGACTATATTATTACACGTACAACACAGACATCAGTAAGCTACAAGCTAACGTCCAAAACAAAACAATCCAAACAAATTAAAACAGAAGTTCAAAATGTAAACTTCCAAATATACTTCCATAATATTTGGTGCAGATGTTCATGGTCACAGGAGAATGACTTGCAATGACTTTGATAATCACCTGACCTTTAATAAAGTGCCATCATCAAAAAAGGTTAACACAGTTAATGATGTTGGGGTCATTAGTATGGCTGTAGAGAGCTTAAGTGAAACCTTAACTTCCACTTTTTGTTCCAGAAGTGAGAATTCCTTGTTAAATATCATACTGACATTTGTAACTGTATCTGAAACAAACTTCCTCAACACTATGTTGTGGGTTTCACTCAATTTTTCTAGACAGGGATGTAACAAAAAGAAATTGTCTTGCTTATTTGACATATCAGTTTTTAGCAGCCTTTAACGAACACCACTTCCCATACCTTCCCAGGTTAAATGTCATCAGCTTGACTTAATTAGGCTAGTTCAGACATGGCTGCAGCAACAGCAAGACAAGGAGGGCCAAACAGTGTAGATTCTTTTTTAAACAGCAAAGACTACAGCTAAAAAGTTTGATACATGAGCATGGGTGGATATCACGGATAAGGAGGAAACCAACATTTAGAACCACTGCTCCATGAGAGCTGTGGTTCTTTATTGGTTTTTAATTTAGCAAAAATTATAAAGGCTTCAAATTCTAAATGTTGTATCCACATATATCTTAAAATATGATTAACAAACTCAGAAATGTTTCACTATTTTAGAAAGACTGATGATAGAAACAAATAAATAATATAGGTTGCACTGAGTAAAAAATACAAGTGGAAAAGCAGCTAACTGTAAAGTATAAAAAAATGTGAAAACACAAGCATTGCTACAGTGAGTCTGTATCAAGCAAGGTTTAAATATAAAGCTGTCAGTTTCAAAAGCGTGCCGACAGTGTAACCACAATCAAACTGCAGCAGTGGGAGGGAGATCCTGACTTCTTGAAGGTCATTAACTGAGAACAGTGACAGTACGAAGAGCAGACGCCGATATCACTGCTTTTCACTCTTCTAACCGTCGAGCATCTGTGGCATACCACATTATCAGTCAGCCAAAGTGAGCGTCCCCCTCCTTTGTGTAAGAGTGCGTGTGTGTGGTGGTCTTCAGCCACACTTCCTGTCTTGCTCTCCCTGTGTCGCTCTGCCCTCCGGGGCAAAGCAGCCCATTTTCGGAAGAGAATGGGATATGGAAAAATAGCAGAGATTAAGGAGAGCACAGAAGGAGGGTGTGTAATGAATTATTTATGTCCTCCGTTTAGAATGTGATGTGCCTGGTGTTTTACAGAATCCTCAGCGTGAGCATGTGTGCACAGAGTTACTCTTGCTTTAAAGATTCTCCCGTCTATATTTTTTAGCAAATGTGTAATATACAGTGGAAATTATTTTATTTCATTATTTTGTATTTCTCAAATGTATTACTTGTTTTTGCATACCAGAAAGACAAGCCTGAGTGCAAGTGTGGGTGATGTTTTATTTTCACAGTTTTGTTCACTGCACTTGAGACTAGCAACAGCAAACAGTACCTGAGTTTCGTTGCTAATACCAAAATGATACTTTTTTGATACTTTACATTGAGGAACATAAGTAAATAAAAGTTCTTTTCATACAAAAGAGCCCAAACATCTCATGTAAAATGTTGTCATGCAGCTCTACAAGAACTGTTCTTTCAGAATATTACTCATAATTCGTTAAAAGTGAAATATGAATTTTTTTTTACCTTGGTTTGGCTGTATGTTTACTATATTTATACTGAGCAGATGATGTATGTTTTTCTTTTCTAAATAGTTACACTAGACCTGTATCCCCTGTTCAGACCAAAGCTCATACAGTAGAATTCAAACAGGTCTGCATGTCACTCTGTGAGGTGGGTATGTTCATGTATGTGCTTGTTTGTTGGCTCAGTTTGACTGCTCAGTGTCGGTATTGCAGGCAAATTTTCACTTCCCTTTTTGACATTTGATCTCACTAAAGTCCTGAATTCACTCACATCAGTTGGGGCGAAATTCTGTCAAACTACAAAATAACTTCCCTTAAAAAACAATCTTCAAAATTTTTGTTTCAACATGTGCAACACCCACCCCTAGTTTATCTCGAAACAGGGCAGCACAAAACCTCTTTTGAATTCTTCAAGATAACAGCACAATGTTGACAGACCTTCAGACATTCTAAACAAGTTGAATTAACCAATACCACTTTGTTTATTCACTAGTCAAATTTGAGATGAAAGGGTTTCACTTTGAGAGAGTAGTGTCTAGCCATGCAGACAGTTTTGTGTCTATGTACTGAAGTTTGGAAATATCCCCCTGCTGCTCTCCACGTCAGTGCAATAAAATGATAATGGTACTCAAAACATTGAAATATCCAGAAACTATTTCTCTGTTAGTCTACTTCTGGCAGTTTTCATAGGAACTATTTATTTAGCAGCTGAAATTCCCCCGGGAGTTGGTGGACACAGCTGATACACAAAAATATTTGACTTTCATCAGGAAGACAAAAACATGACTCCAAACGAATAATAACGCTGCTCTGTAACTGCTGGATATGTTCATATGCAACTGTTTGCTAACAAGTTTGCTAACAAGTTCCCCATATCAACTTAAAAAGTAAATGATGTGTTTACAACTTGTTGCCCTTGTCCCCAAGTGGCCAAAACAATATTATCAACATATTTTAAGCTGATTAATTAGTAGTATATTTCAGGTTTTTCAGATGGCATACATGTTGTTTTCGTAGAGAAATGAAACAATCTCAGTGAAAATGTGCGCAGTCAATTTGTTGCTTACAGCATTTATTCTGTTTACCACTGCTGGATCTGTGTGAGCTGTATATTAGTAGTATTTTAATGTTGTAGCTGGCCAAGCTAATTTGAACTACTATATTTGCAGTTGGGTACTTTAATCTGTACAGTAATAATGCATCATGTTTTACATGTAAATTTATAATATGTAAGTTAAATGGAAAGTATAGCTGATAAATGGTGTATTTATGTATATATAGTGGAGTAAAAAGTACATGTCCAGCTGAAATGTAATGGAGTAGAAGTATAAAGTAACATGAAATGGAAACAAGTACAAGCACTAAGTCTACTTACATACAATACTTACGTAAATGCACTTTCCAGCAGTTTAGTACTGTATGTAGAATAATAGAGTAGGGTACCATATGTTAAAGAACACAGTGATGAGAGTTAAACATTGAACTTCCCTTTGGTGTTTTAACCATTATGGATTACATGCTCTAATGACTGCCATTAAGGTCCACAGTGCGATTTTCATTTACAACAGATTTCATGCATGCATGGCACATTTCACCTTCTGGCAGTAGCCAGTATCGGCTACGCATACAAAAGAGGGAAGATCCCGCTCATAACAAAAGGTCCTGTAAGCTCTTGTTTCCGCGGGTGAGCAGGGCCTGCAGCAGGGGAGGATGGTACCCAGAGAATGGGGGGGTTAAAACCTATCCTCTGTGGAGTATGTCCAACCTTCTCATCAGACACTGCTGGACACTGAGCGCCGTGTCTCACCTCAGGGAGGCAGCATACAGAGAGGCAGGCTGGAACATCCCTGCAGGGGACTGCTACTCCTGACTGATTGAGGCTTTAACTCCTCACTACAGGGCTGCAAAACCCTGCTGCTGCCTGTTGCGGCAGATTTCCCATAAACCAAATGAGGTGAAAGACACAGCTCTTCGGTCACGTCACACTGTGTTGTGACAGAGAAGTGGAAGTTCTGACATTTCAGTGTTCTCAAAGGAGAAAGACAAACAGTTTGTTTAATTTATAGGATTTTAGCAAAGAATCTACAGTCACACGAATGTGTGCTATGTTTAATGGCCATACCAATGTTTTTTAATGTTTAGATCATTAACTTATCTAGGGTGTTTCTTAACTTCCAGGAAGCCACTGGATTCCATTCACTGTAGAACATGAGTAGTGAAAGGGTGGGCAAACATTTTTGATTGCAGGCCATATCAAGAAATATATAAGTCACAGGCCAAATTCTGATATATTCTGTATTTGCTCGCTATCTCCGCCATGTTTGATCAATTGAGGTAAATGTTTTCATCAATTAGTAATCTATCCCTGTAGGCAGGATCTGAAATTTACTTGAAAACTTACTTACTGCCTCTGTGTCAGCAAAGTATTTTTTGTCTGCCACTCAGAAATATTATCTTCCACTTTTTAAATGTGTGCGCTAAATGAAGGAATAACATTCAGCTCATTTAGGCAATATTTAATGTAAATAATGTTGTTATTCAATGTTCAATATATTTACATAAAAACAGTATATGCATGTTCCCATGCACTAAGGACCGATGTCTTTGACAATCACTCTACCTTACTTAACAATAACTAACAACTTCACTGAACAAAATTATAAAACACAACACTTTTGTTTTTGCCCCCATTTATCTTGAGCCTACATCACATTTTCGAGTGGCCTTTTATTGTTGCCAGCCTAAGGCCTTTTATTGTGGCCAGCCCAAGGCACCCATGCTGTCTGATCAGCATCTTGATATGACACACCTGTGAGATGGATAGATTATCTCGGCAAAGGAGAAGTGCTCACTAACACAGGTTTGTGAACAATATTTAAGAGAAATAGGCCTTTTGTGTACATACAGAAAGTCTAAGGTCTTTGAGTTCAGCTCAAGATGAATGGAGGTAAAAACAAAAGTATTGCGTTTATAATTTTGTTCAGTGTATGTATTTCAAAGGTACCAACAGACAAGTTCACCACGGTGTTTTGCATACATTGATTTATTTGTGGTGGTCCGCCACAATATCAACGCATATTGAATATTTATTTTTTTACAATTTAACATGGCTAAAATCATACTCAATTATAGAGCTGTGCGCAGCGCATAGATTAGCTTAGCCCCTCATCTCGCTCACAATCTGAATCAAAACATGATCATGCGCTGGAGGAAGGATCGTTGCCAGCTTTTCCCCCCACAAAGAAGATTCCTGAATCTATCCGGAGTTGAATGGTTAGCGTCATGAATACTGCCACACAGATTTGTCCAAAACTAATGCATTCAAGTTAACTGATAATCCCTGTCAATCTCGGAGACGCACCTTCAAATACGTTATTAGCAAGCATGTAAGGAGCCAGCTAATAAGGATAGGATGTTAACATTAGAATACAGATATAAATGCTTGTATAGCACCTTTCAAGTCTTTTCGACTACATCCACCATTCACTGAGCCTAAGTGCTCAAACAGAAACTAACATTCACATACTGGCAGAACAGCCACCAGGGGCAATTCAGGGTTCAGTATCTTGCCCAAGGACACTAGCAGACTGGGGGAGCCAGGATTGAAGCGCCGACCTTCCGATTAACGGCCAACCCACTATCTCCTGAGCCACAGCCGCCCCAGTTGGGTTGTAATGCAATGTCAGTTTTTTCCAAAATCGTGCAGCCCTAACTAATAAAATACAAATTTAAAGTCTATACATTAGGGTCTCGATTCATGCACCAGTGTGTTTAGAAGAGGCCAACCAGCAGAAAAGCTAAAAAATCATCAAAATTTTAACGTCATCACCTTTGTCAGCAACAGACAACGTGCTGTTGAAGTACTGCTCCTCCAGAGCCCACGAGTTGTCGTTCATTTTGTTGGAGATCCCACATGACCCCTGACAGTTCACCTTGATGGCTGTGGAAAGAGAAGAGAGAGAAAGAAAAAAAGCCATTGGGTGCAACTACTGATTATTTCTTGATAAGATAAAGTTTCCCACAGCCCAAATGTCTTACTTTGTCCCAACAACAAAAATGCTTCATGTAAACACCTTTCAGAAACTTGAAACCTGTACTTTGAGAGAACCCTCCTTCTCCTTTGTTATTTTTGAGTCTTGAGGATGTCACTAAAAACCTTTTAACAAAAGATTTCCTCAGCGATCCTGGGAACACTTCAATGGAAATCATCATTCAAATTAATTTTATTTGGAAAGAGAAAAATTTGTCTCATGTAGCCGCAGTCAGTCGCAGTGTGAAAAATACACACCAGTAGCACAATCCACTGATTAGCATTAGAATGTCTCACAAAGAGGGACGCCTTAATAAATCCTTATGGGCCTCTGATGCTGGTCATGGGCATTCTGCTGCAGTGGTAAATAATCACAACAGGCTGGGAATGGTGTTTCATTCAACAGATGGAAGGGAGGAGTAACTTTATAAGGGAGCTGTTGTGAAGAGGTTAGTGTAAATAAAGACCATGCTTTAGGTTTGACTGGTTCGGATGATATCACTTGTTGTTTGTCACCTGCAGAGTCATGTTAGATCTGCGTTTTAGTGGGATGATAATGCTTGTGATTTTCAGTAATCTCGGTATGACTTCAGCTTTATCCTAACAGCTGTGAAGTAAATACATTTGCAGATTGCATTGGTCTTTTTTGCTGCCAGTGGATGAGGTCAAAACTAGAGAACTGGTGAAGTTCAGCAACCTGTCCTTCTGTGCTGCTGCTTGAGGTACAGGAAACAATGTTATCATCTTCTCGTGCTTGATTCAAAGATTTTATTGATAATGTAATTTTTACTCTACTCCCAGGCGATCAAATGTTCACACTGGTGCGAGATGTGTTGTATGACAGACAGAGAAATAAAAAATGAGCAGCAGGGACAGCACTGCAGGTCTGCACATTCTTTCTCTCTCTTTCTGTGTCACCCTCCTCTCTCTGTCCCTCTTGTCTCTCTGTTGATCTGTCTGTGAGGAAATGAAAACCCTCTGATAATGTGCACACAAATGCAAACGCGCGCACACACACACACACACACACACACACAGAAGCCAAAAGATTAAACGGAAAGATGGCCCAGCCTCAGTATTATCTCAGTGTTCTGATAAGCAGACAGACAGATGGGCCAAGTATATTTCTAATGTTTTGTTCGCAGCCCCAATGTGACACCTGAATGTCTTTACTTCATTCTTTCTCAGATTATGAACACTTTATTTACATTGTTTAAAACAAGCCAAACTTGCCAAATAAATCAGTGACTAATAATTTGCCTTAATCCAAAGAGCAGTCCAACAGCATTACCCCGACAATATTCAACATGCCATTAACAAGAGATTGATCTAATTTAAATCTGGTAAAATCTTATGTTTTCTCTTAAACATAAACAAGAATAAGAATCTCACCAAGGATTTGGAAACAACTTTTTGTCCTTGACAGTAATGATGCGTGATATGTCTAAATATTTTGTCACAGTATATGCCATTTTATATGGTGAGGTATAAATATCAGGATATAATATAATTTCTGTTGGTTCAACTGTTCACTGAGAAAATAACCAGAATGTATTGAAAATCTTTTTTTGGTTTGACATTGTCTGTGAGCATTTTTCATTATTTCCCAACATTTAACTGACTAAATAATTAATCAAAACACAATCAATCTCGGGAACCCATCGGCCGTCATTGATTTAGCCTCTGGGGGCAACAGCCAATGTTTTTGGCCTTCCGGTGTAGTCAGCAGATATCCGGATAACCGGCTGTCTGGGCCAAGACTTCCTCATCCACTCACCGGTCATTGTTTACAGTCTGATTAGCAATCTTGGAGCCCCATCGGCTATGCCTGGCAACAATGTGAATACAGATACATTTTTAAAAAAGCTAATAAAAAGCTAATCTCTAGAGTTCCAAGATTGATAAACAGCTAAATTGTCATCAGACGATAGATCTGGTTTCCGAGAGTGCATTCCGGCCAATGGGTTCCGCCTCTTTTAATCTCCACACGGACCGTTTACCTGCATGCAACCGAAGAAGAAGAAGAAGACATACTTTATTAATCCCGCAAGGAGAAATTCAATGTTTTTTCACTCTGTTTAATGTTTAATTAGTTAGTACTCTGAGCTACTACAGCGCGGTTGGGGGTTCAGGGGCTTGCTCAAGGCCACCTTCGGCAGTGCCCCGGAGGTGAACTGGCACCTCTCCAGCTTCCAGTCCACACTCCGTATCTCTGGTCCGTATCTCAAACAGATGACCCTCCGGTTTCCAGTTTCCAAGTCCTTACGCACTGAGCAACGGCCGATTGGTCAATACTGCTCAGACTATAAAAAAAGAACGTTTCCGATACCAAATCTAGTCCCTTGCCGACAGATTCTGCATTCATATCCACTTTTATCAAGATTAAAACACAATTAACATTAATCTATATGAAAACAAGATTAAGACTATATAACTATGCTAGCGGCTCCGTGAGATATATATATTTGAGGCACAGTGGTGTTTTGAGCTAAATGTCAACCTCAGCATGATAACATACTCACAGTGACGATGCATGCTAAGGTTTAGCAGGTGTAATTTATACCATGTCCACCATCTTAGGTCAGGGTGTTAGCATGCTATAATTTGAAAATTAGCATTAAACACAAAGGACTGTACAGCTAAGGCTGATGAGTATTTGATCACAAACCAAAGTACTGTGCAAATTAAAATTTGGGAGGAAATTAAAATTTGGGAGGACATGAACGTACCAACTTTCATGTCAGTTCATCCAATATTTGTTGAAACATTTCACTCAAAACCAAAAATGTGATCCTAATTGTGGCCTTAAAAGAAAAGTCAGGGGATCACAGATTTATTTTCTGGGCACCATGAATATCTGTATGAAATTTCATGACATTCCATATAGTTGCAGATATATTTCAGTCTGGACTAAAGTGGTGGACTGACCGACATTGTCATCCTTACAAATGTGGTACTTGCATTCCTAATACCAAGGTACTGCAGAGATCCTGCTAATCCAACACTTCCAGAAAGCAACATTTCCCACAAACGTCTAATACAACAAGATATCAGAGATAGCTACCTTATAAACTGTAACAAAATGTTCTGTTTTTGTCAATTGGCCCAACAAGTTTTCGATTTGCAATGCTGCAGATATTATTTGGTCACCACTAAAAAATAATTCTGGTTTGATAAGAGCATGTGTTGGCAAAAAAACCCTAAACACAGACTCAGATGTCAAAGATATCATGCTGTGTTTCACCAATCACTTGCTCACACTGACGCAGGAAAGTGGCAGATGGCTTTGCTCTCCATACTGGCAGGACTGCTGGCACAATTTGGGGGAAGGGGAAAGGACCTCTGCTGCCAGTACAAACAAAAACCAAAGTCTGCATCTCACAAAACGAAGCAGCGCCCTTCAGCCACGCAGACTAATGTCCATTTATTTGGTCATTAATTAGACCCTGCAATCTGCTCCTCCAGCCATCTGCCTCATTCATGGAGGAGAATAATACCTTCATACTCCACCCTGTGAGCTTTCTGGAGTCATTACACTTCACAGAATCACCAAAACAATTGTAAAGTACACAAATATGACAGAAAAGGGAGCCATTACTGCGACAAGATATTGTTTACAGATGTCTGTTGTGGAAAAGTGAGTGCATAAAAGGTCAACGCAGGGATAATCTGTTAATATCCCCAGCAGCAGCAGCAGCAGCAGCAGCAGGAAGAGGTGCAGCAGAGCTGAATAGTGAATAGTTCTGTCATAAGAGACAGGCTGCTTTGGCAGAGACACTGGCTGTCTGCAGTTGAATAATGGGCTGACCTCTCCACAGACACATGGAGCCTTATGGACCTGGAATAGTGATGATGTGTTTGATGAGACGCATAAAGATGATGTCTCAGACATGATGAGGGGCCGGCACAAGAAGTCCAAAACCTAAACTTAACCTAGAGTCTTTTGCCTGGTTCTAGTACAACCTCATAGGATTTTTGCAGAGGTCATCTCTATTCTTAATCCTGTGCCAAAGACTCTTCCAGACAAAGACTGTTGGAGACTTTGACTTTGAAAATGACATATGTATACTTAAATGGATGCACATTTGCATCCAGTTCTATTATATGTGAATGAACGGTAAGAGGACAAAACAACAGTAATTGCAATACAAAATGGCATTTCATTGTTGTTTATCAGCTGGGATGGCATTTGTTATGTTAATGAATAAGGACTCGAACTTATTTATTCCAAATTCTTTTGGGCTTCATGGCGGAGTGGAGGAATGTAATTGTGAGTGGTGTTTCTGCACAAGAAGACACCAAAGACGGATGAAAAAGTGCATAATGACAGCTAATGACAGCATTCTTGTGCAAATTCGAGAGATTCTCTTAGCAGCTCTGAAACTTACAAATGGCAGGAGCACTCTCAAATGCATCAAAAATAATAGTTATCACAGCATGTGGTAACGGAAGTTTTTTTAAAGTAATTAATTTCTTGGTTAACCACGGATGATGCCGTTCCTGATCTGCACCTAAACATCAAGGTCACCAGGGCAACACAGTGATAAAAGTTTTATCTTTCAGTAGGCTTAATATAAAAGTCTTGGAATTTGGTTAGTAAATTTGTGTGTGGACACACCTGGCCGCACACTGTGAAAAAGGCTTTATAATCTCAAAACACTAAAAGGTGCAGCAGCTAGCAGTGTTACAGTGCAGCATACTGAACCTACAAAGCTAGCATCCAAATGTCACCTGAACAGGAATTTACTCACAACAGTCATCATTTGAACTAGACAAATACTCCAATAAGGAAATAGTCCTTGAAGTGTCTTACTCTCACCCTGATCCCTGGTATTAAGTATATCTTGACATGAGAAGTTTAATGACTAAAACTCAAAAGATTTAGTTTGGTTTTGTGAAGATTATAGTAT